CAGGCTGCATTTGTCTTTTGCCGAAGCTCAGACTCTGGCACAGGATCGGGAACGTTGGAAGCATTGTCTGGCACGTCTGCCTCCGCGACCCGAAAGGAGAAGCGGCGATGGAAGATGAAGATGAGATGCTGCATTTCATATTCCGAAGTAGAAAAAGTACAGAAAATCAAGATTCCCGTTTCGATCACAGTTTTTCAGACTAAAGATGGACTCGGGACACAGTGGACACGTTTAACTGAAGTCTGCGGCCTGTTCCACGATCTGACACTTTCTGCGCAAGTGACAGTACAAAGAGAAACATCGTGCGACTGCGGCTACGCAAATAAGACAGCTGATTAAATAATCAACCAGTGCGAAAAAGGTGGTCCATGAGATTTTTTGCCTGGATCTGTAGTAGCTGTTGCCATGCGTAAGAAGCAGAAAAGGAGAAAATGCAAAGCTGTTACTCCCTTTGCATTCTGTTCATCCCGCAGCTTACGTTGCTACTTCATATCTTAATTGCGAGATAATAGCAGTGCTTTAATATATTTTATAAACAGCGTGCTACACCGAATTGCAATGTGATAAATTCCTTTGATACTTCATGGAGGAATACAACGGCGCATTTAACTTTTGCCTATTATGACTCACTGTTCGGTGTTGTGTTATCGTTTAACTGAACGATCAGACATTTAACAAAGGTGTTTCTGTTGAAGAAAATTGCAATTCACAAAAATATTGTTTTTCATTGGCAGCAAAATGTTACTTTTGAAGGTCAGTCACAGAATTTTCTCTCCTTTTATTCGAAGTATATATTTTTTAACTTCTCATATCACCAGAAAATTTGCTTTGAAAAGTAATAGTTTAGCTCGGTCTGACGGTTGATTCTGGCTTTCTGAATATCAACACTGTTGCGGAAATAGAGGTGATATAATTTTACGACATGGCTCAATAGTATCATCGGGTTGTTCTTTGATGCCTAGGGGGCTATTTGTTTGGTCCTATGGGAATTATACCTTATTTGACATGCTGCGGTGTATAAATACAATTATACGTCTACGCGGTGGCAAGTAAGGGGCACCAGGTTCATCGTTCGTAATGAACAGGAGGTCTCTCTAGGGAACAAATTGATGCTTTGTAAATGTGAAACCGCAGTGACCTGCGTAAATGTTCTCCCTTTCCCTTCCTCAGTTAGATAACTAGAAGTAAAATGGTGGTGCACCCTGCCGTGAAATCTGGTCTTAGAGAAGTTATGTATTGTTTGATCTGTTCCAGCGTACGAACACATTTAATGTTTTTGAGATATTATGATTATGTGAATAATTGAAGCTTTCTGTTTTCTCTGATAGAAATCCCTGTTCCTTTAAAATTAGCGGTTAGTTCTTCAGTTAATTACAACTGACTTGACGAATTACAGTTGAATTATTCATCTTCGCCTCTTCATGATTTCTCTATTTCATGACTGTCGATTTATGACGCCACGTTTACCAAATATTGTATTGACAAAGACACTATCGCAAGTCATATGTAAATAATAATCTCTTCAGGGTGATCCTAGATGTCCAATGTTACGAATGGTTCAAAGGAAGCCGCAACGTAGAAAGTTGAACTCGGAAAGGTGACTTAGTTTTTCTGCGAAAGTTGGTTTTCGGTACACAGTTAATTTTCACAGAATTAGCATGGGAAGCATTCAGCCGTGTATTTAATTGCTGTCGTGATTAGAATAGCTCTAAAGCAAGCGTGCTTTAGTGCTGTAAATGATTATGATGGCTAGTGTAAAGTCAAAGTAAGGCGACGATACAGTTGGCTGCCGATGCACGAACGGACACCTTGAGCCAGTATTGGCTGTGATTCGTGTCAGTGTGCAGAAGCACGAATGATGTTACTCTCTCGATATTGTTAGAATGTCTTGCTTCTTCTCTCGTATGCTTAGAGAATAGAAAGACGTAGAGTAGACATATAAAGACCGATCTGCTGAAGACCAACGGTAGCAGAACTAAATCACCATCGATAAGGAAATGTCACCGACTCTATTTGCATGTTTGGACATTGAAACAGCGTCGAGGACCACCCGCTTGGTGTTGATTTGGCGCCGTTCCGTCGGACTATTCTTTGCGGGGCCGATGCATTGTCAGGCGACATGTTTGGCGCGCGCTTTCACGCCCGTCGAACCCATTATTTCTTCACCTGAGAATTTCTTGACAGCTGCGATAACGAAGCGTCATTTTTTCCGGTTCATCGAAAATGCCTATAAGTTTTACTTAGACGTGCAAGTTTCGAAGGCACCGGAAGCGCGATTTGATCTGGACGGGGTCGGGGTTGCCAGCAGGAGAACTGGTCGGCCGTCGCCCTCGCGCCTGATTCGGGTCGGAGCGCGCCCGCGGGATCGTCACCTTGCGAACAGCCTCGAAGCTCTGTCGTAATGGCATATAAACGCGTTGAAGCGAGCGTTTTTAGTCGCCCCTTTTCTGATTCATTACAGTTTGCAGCAACGCTGAACCTGTGATGAACGAATTGCAGTCGCTTTGTTAAACTATTGTTTTTTTGCCATTTTTTATCACCCGACAGAGCTGGTACAGCACAGCTGAATCTGGACTTCTTGAAAAAGCGGTCGTTCGTTCGCTCACTCGCATCTTGATGCACACGGCCGTCTCTGAGGCGTACAGTACGTCTGAAAAAAAACGACCGTTCCTCCTGGACCGCCGCATGAAAAAATACGTTTCTGTCCCTCATTGCCGTTCCAACCGCCTTAAGGATATGACGCAGCGTAGATCCGTTATCAGGGGTGTGCGACGATGGGCGGTTGTATGAGAGCGCGTGATTCGCAGGTACACGTTACTGGCAAGCGAACGAACAGACAGGCAGACTGTATGCTGATGCAAACAGATTTATTGAACGCTGAAAAATTATAAATGTTCTTCGACTCTAATTTATGAACTCTGTCGCGTTCTCGCTTAAATAAAATACAGTTAATGCATCCGTCGTCATTAAATTAATCACTTTAAGAATATGATTTATCCACGTAATTGTTCAATAACAGCACGGGAGCAAAAAACAACTTATTTATTTTCGCTGCCGCGTTGTGTTTACAAGCGGATTGTTTCATTTTGCGCATTGCGGTTTGTCGCCGTCACGCAATCACACTAATCGTTCGTGGAACATGATTTAAAGTATGTGCGATTTAAGCCATTAGACCTTAGCGCGGGCAGGAGAACAGTAATGCGGTGATTTATCCCATTTTTGTTGCTGCCTGGCAATTTGCTGTGTTCATCTTCGTGAGGTTAGTTGGAGGTCGATAGGGCTTGTAGGTAGTGGTTGATTCGCATACCCCGGTTGCGAAGTGCCTGCCTCAAGCGCGCAGTTCAGATGCACATTTTCCGGTTGATGTTAGTTCCTCGGCGCCTGAGCGCCGGCAACTGGAGTTAGCGCTGCCCTAGCGCATCGAATTCCTATAACAATGCGGAATGATTTATTGCGCTTTATCGCCCTCTGGCGGCCGGCAGTGCTTCGGAGTTTTTGTGCGCCCGGGAAGCATGTTCGTTGTTACCGTAAACGGTGGGAGTGATCCGTAGCTTCTTGTTCTGATTTCTGAAGCTGTTGGTCGAGGGTACCGTTAGGACATGGCTGTGAAGACCATTGGTCATTGGTGGTGGCGATGGCGGTCATTTGATCGTTCGCGTCGCGTGGCGTGCGTTCTTTCTGATGGCCAGGCGCGTGTATGATGTGTATGTGTGCTCCAGTTTAAGGTGTTCTTGCTCTTAGATCATGATGCCGGTCCTTTAGCCCTTGCGATGATGGCCCTGTTCCTCTTTGTCATCGTCGTTGTCGACAGCCGTAACCTCAGCGGCGTGCAAGGACCTGTTGTGCGTCGCCGCTGACTGTCGTCCGTTGTTCATCGCTTCCCGCCATGCCGGAGGACGTGGAGGAAAAGCCGAAGACGTTCCGTAGTGAGGGCGATGGAGACGAGGGAAAAGACGTCGCCCGACCCCGCTGTGACATCGTCACCGAGGAAAAGGGCGACATCAGTCGCATGGCCGAGGACGAAATTCCTAAATCTACCCCCGCTGCCCAGCAACCCTCGACCAGCGCATCTGCCGCCCGCAACAACGTCTCCTCTGCCGCTGCCGCTGCCGCCGCCTCAGCGTCAAAGCGTGCCGCCCATGGTAAGAATTCTGCTTTTTCTTCTTCTTCTTCTGTTCTTTGTTCCTCTGACCTTCCCCCTCGTGTTGCTTTGTTCTTTACCAAGAATGTTGCCTTTGCAGATGCCGCTGCCGCTGCTGCCGCCTTCAGGAAGTTCTCTTTTTCCGTACCACAAAACGGATTCTCGTCGGCCACCCCGCTTAACACGGCTCTCTATTTACCGTACTCATATGCAGCAGCTGCTGCGGCCAACATGTCGCCGCTGATGATGCAGGTACTTTCATCTTTTCTAACCACTGGTCACTCGTCAAACGGCGAAGGTCGCTCTTGGAAACAGACGTCTTTGCTAAACCAGCTTTTTCTTTGTGTGCTTTTTTTCTGTCGCTTCGAGATGTTGCACGCCTTAGTGCAGGTGCGTCGCGGCCTTTGTCGCCGCCGCTTCTAAAACTGATGGCGGCAATTCCTCCTTTTGATTCAGTGCTTCGTTCTTTTCCGATGATAGGAATTTTCTCCTTTGTCGTGAGCTGTCTTCACCTCAGTTTCTCGTAGTGACCTTCAAGGTAATGGTAGCTACGAGTAGTTGTGCCGTTTTTACAGGTGATTATCATTCCCTGTGTATATTACTCGCTTTTTCCGTCTTCGACGCCTTTTCATTTACTCTTCCCACTTTCTGTTCTGTATACTTGTATTGTTTTCCCACAGAAGTACTTACTACTACTAGTTTCATATCGAAAGGTACTCTTCTTTCCAAGTTCCAGAAATTTCATATAATGTGACAGGAGTTGTTTCTCTTCGGCAAGCGTTGCACGACAGCTGGTCAGCGATCCCCTCAGCTGACACAGCGTTGTAATAATTTGCTGCCTTCATAAATTTATGCCAGAGCGACTACAAACATTCATTTTAGAGGCGGAGTCGAGGAAAAGCGGAAAAATTCAGGCGGGAAATTAAATTTAGTCGTTCATTATTGAAACTGTAGTAGTCGAGGTGTTATTTTGTTGCCGATGCTTCGACAACAGCCAATGAATGAATTTCTAAAGCCTAATTTCTAGGTTTTTCTTTTCTGCTCGTCTTACAACCTGAACCCATATGCAGCGAAATCAAGAGTTGTAAAGCGACGACGCCTTGTTAGCTTGTTACAATTAGAATGTCGCCCGCACCAGTGTGCCAGCTGTAAGATGGTACCCGAAGACTTAGCCCCTGCATCTCATTTTCTGCTCGACCGATCCTCAGCGAACTTTAACCTAGCTGTTCTCTCCAAAGCAGATATTTGCTTGTGGCAAGTGGTTGTCTGCGAAATTTGAATTCGGTTATACTGCTTTGCCGATGGGCAATGGGCGTTGCCCGACAAGCTGTTGACTTTGCGCCATCCTCATCGCACCGATGGTGTTTTGTTCCCGCCTCCTGTCAGAGTGTCGCTGCATCGCCCGTACGTTCACACTGTACCTACAGAAACGCGTTATCTTCCATCGGAAAGCACGTAATATCGAAAAATCATGTGTGAACACAAACTTTTGCCTTTAAATCATACATTTTCAGTTTTGTACTGAATTCACTTAATACTTGTCTGGTAAATATAATCCATCCAAATCCATTTTTCATCAGTCGTGGATGGCATTGCTCCCTGAAAATAATATTTTTTCGCATTAGAGAAATATTATACGAAATTTTCTCTCATATCATCTTCGATGGAGCTATTACACTGTATACAGATCAAGTTTTCTCGCGATTACCATCAGTTTTAGAGGCTTGTTCGAACAGTGACCGATTTCGACTTTGCTGAAAATGATGAATGCGCTGCACAGCGATTTGACGGTGATGCAAGTTCCTTTCTACTCTTCAGCTTCCTATTGAAAATCAAGAACAATTATTGAAAATCTGAACAGCCTGCGTTACATTTCATTTTGGAGGGTAAAAACAAGCCCTTGAAGCATTTCGACGCAAATGTCATATTTACATTTCAACAAAAGAGTGTTTAATGTCACAAGCCGAAGCGTAATTCGGAAAGTTTGCGAGTTTCAGACAGTATGCGGTATCGCTTGACACTAAATTGTGATATCACTGATGTTATCATTAAATGTCACTAAATAATGGAATCTATAACGTCAAGTCTGCAAATGTCAACTGTCATCTGGCGATATCTCGCCTCTTCTAATTCTTCATGTC